TTCGTGTTCGGCTCGTTAGGCTTAACGAACGAGCCGAACACGAGCTGCTTGAACGAGCCGAACACGATTGTTCACGAACAACGAGCCAAATTAACAGCCCTAGTTGAATATAAAGTCTATTTGTATCGTTTCAATGAATTCAAATATTTTTAATAGAAAATTTAATTATTTTATTACGAGATATATCATATTATTGATATTCAATTAAATTATTATAACAAAATAAATTATAAGTTAGCTATATATTCAATTAACTTATTATCATTAAATAAATTATAAAATACCTATATATGTATATATATATATGGCATTTAGTGAATAGAATGTGTTTTTTTATCTTAAACTAATTGAGAAAACAATTGGAAGTAAGATGTGATGGTAAGGAAAAATAAAATATAAATGATATAAATTTTGATTGTAATACTAATTAACTAAAATTTTATGTTTAAAATTGTGACCAGTTTAAATGGTTGAATATTGATATTGAAAATAAAATGTTATTCATTATTTTATGATGAGCTATATATCAAATAAATATTTAATTAAATTTATATTATCAAATAAATTATTAATGTGGATTATTATCTTTAAATGTTATATATATATATATAGAATAGAAAGAAAAATTAATTACATATATACAACAAAAATTTTATTTATTTACATATCCGACACCAAAATTTTGATTTTTTTACATTTATAAGCCATCATATTGTATTACTAACTTATAAAAAGTGGAACACTTTTTATTTTTGAGGCATACAAAGTGGTACATATGTAAAAATCAACATTTTTTTATTACATATATAAATATAAAGGAATTTTTTGGTATATGTGTAAATCTTCCAATCAATAATAGAATTTTTTGGTATATGTGTAAATCTTCCAATCAATGGATAAGAAAAAAAGGTAGAGGGGATTTCTTTTCATAATATATATATATATATATACATGATCTACTAATAATAAACTCAAGCATGTAATTATATGCTTTGAATTTCAACTCTTACGATTATATGCAAACTTCAAAATTCAAACACAAGTATTTAATGTTGGTCAAAGAAATTGAATAGTTAAAAATTATTTTTTTAAATGTATCATAAATTGGTGGAATTTCATCCCACTTTTCAAAAACATAGATTAAAAGCTGCATTGTAGAGCAATCTAATTATGGCTATAATATTATTTCCTACTATACAGGATTATACTATGACACCATTAAACATTTCTTTAGTGGTAAAATTTGCACATTTTCTCACAATTGTCTGTCAATAATTGTTTCCCCCTAATTTTTATATCACTGTAGAGTATATGAGAAAAGAAAAAAGTATTTTAAGTTCGGACTAATTTTACAAACAATGAACCAATAAAAAATAGAGGCATTTACATATATACATGTTGACCTCATATTCACTTTCCTTTCCCTGGCTCCTGGCCACATCTATCTAAGTCTAGGATTTCCCCAAAATAGCTGGTTTGACCTTGACCTAGTTTGGTGTGCTCGTCATGAAGATGGGTATGGTGAAGAGGAGGATTTAGAGAGGGCTTCGACCTAATTGGAGGAATGATGAGGTGGATAATGAGATCAGAGATAGCTTGGCGTGACCACCAAAGTTTGGTCCAAAAGGGTTTAGGATGGAGGCCATATAGAGTGCATGTGTCTTCTCTTATGATGAGCCTACCATGCTGACAATTCAATGAGCTAATTTAGGTTTTAAATTGGTTCATGGGTTGACCATGTCATCGTGGGTGGTTATAGGGTCATGGATGACCTATTAAGAGTGGGCTTTAGGCCATAAATTGGATTGGATTTCTTTAGTGTTGGTCTTGGGCAAGGCCCTCAAGGCATTCTTTTTAATTAATTAATTCACTTAAAAGAATGTATGTAGATTGACCCCATAGGAGTTGGGTGACCACATGGCTAAAGGGTTGACCATATGGGCCCATATGGTCATGGAGGTGACCACATGATCATGTGGTTGACCGTATGGACATGGGGTTGACCACATGATCATGGGGTTGACAACATGGTCATCGGGTTCATCATATGATATTTGTCATGGCCATGTAGTGTGAGGTCCAATTGGAGGGTAAAATGGGCAATTGGTCAAATTTTGTTCAAATTAGGGTTATGCCTAATTGGTTTTAACAATCTTATGATGTCTCTAAATTTTAAGGTCAAAGGGACGCATTAAAGTTTACTCTTGATTTTTTTTTTGGTAGGGTTGGGGGGACCCCTGGGGAGGCTAAGGATCCATATGAGACGACCCCTCCCCTAAGATAAATTTGGTGGTTAGGGTAATTTCAAGGTTTCATGGGGAGGATCCTAGGGTTCTAAAATGGCTTTAGGTGACTTAGGGCATGTCTAGCCCATGGGGTAAATTTGGGTCATTCTTTTGGTCAGAACCCTAAAACAATCCAACCAATGGGTTGGGGCTTGGGCTAGCCCTAGTGGGATTCCAAAGGATACATTCCTAGTTTAGGTTCATAAACAAAGTGAGTGGGGTGAGCCCTCACAAAAGTGAGGTTAACTTAGTGGCATATTTTTTTAACTTAATAGACAACTAATGATATATTATTTCTAATTTTTCTCACCCCACATAGGCCATCCATTCCATCTTAGACTTTATTCGGAGCAAGTTCAAGTATCCATACTTATCATGGAAATAGGTCTCGTTCCCAGTTCAGGGTATGTGGTTTCTAAAGTTCAAGGTATATATCGAACACGGTTATCTTCAACTATATATTTATGTTTTTGAATATAATATTTTCTATTTCATTTTGCAAAAATAGTGATCCTGGCCACCTGAGGAGAAGACCCACATCTGAAGAAACTTTGAGTGCAAGAGTAGTGATTGTCTTCATTATATGCTCAACAACATACAGAAGATGCTTCAACGACCCTTGTGGCTCGATAAGGATATATTTACCTCAATGCTTAGGACATGGGATTCTCCTGAATATTAGAAGAAGAGAGAGCAAGTCAACCAGAATCACCGCTCTGACTGCGGAGGTATGGGGGCCTCCAAGCACACTAGTAAGGAGCTCTCACATATAGAGCATAAGATAATGCTGGTAAGACTTATGTATTAAATTTTATTATACATGAAACTTATGCTACTAGTTTCATTATTCTAACATTATATTGAGTTGGGACGTGGCTCATCTGCTGCCGACTTACACGCACACACTCATAAGCGGCAGCAGACCATAGCTGGGTGAACATCAAATATCAGGATTACAAGATTAATTCGCATAAAATTCAAATAACTATTGAAGTTTTTCTAGCCCATAACTTTCATTAATCATATTGTTTTTTTTTTTTTGTGGGAGACCTTTAAGATGATGAGGGACAGTCAATCCTAGCAGTCGGGAGATATTACGATCACATATCATGATCCGTCCAACTATGACTTGTGGAGGGAGGCTGCTAAAGGCAAGAAAAATGGTTGAGTATATTGATTAAGATCTTAGTTGTTGGTCTAATATGCTCGTCTCTTTAGCTCATCTAGTGCATCGACTTTTATAGCCGAGGAGGAGCTTCGTAGGCAGGTTGCAGCATTTACTTATGATATTGAAACCAGAGTTGATGTCGAGGTTGTTGCCCAGGTCTCCACCCAAGTAGCCCAAATGAGTTCGAAGATGGAGTTGAAGATGAAGGCAGTGTTGGATGCAATACTACCTCATGCATGGTGGAGAGGAAAACAACCAGCTAAGGATGATTCTGACGAGGAAGACGATGAGAGGACTGATGACGAGTAGAGACTTATTTTTTTCTTGCTTGTTTATTTAGAACAATTAGTTTGAACGAACATTATTTTTTACGTACAAATGTTTATTTTTTGTTTGTTTAATGCAATGGTTTTCTTTTATTTCTTTTTTTGCTTTTTGTATTAATTAATGTGATATTAATTTAATAACTACTTGGATTAGTACACTCTCTTGTGTTAAACTTCTAGTGTCAGGATTGCAGGTGTGGAAAAGGCATATTATTTTTTTTTTGATGCTACAGATTTCCACTGCTAATCGTTGGCGTTCTAGTGGTTTTGTCGTTAACTCCGAAAGTCTATAATCGTTGGTTAATTCCACGACTGCAAACCGATGGCATTTCAACATTATATCATAATTATGGACAGTTATTTCTTACGTCCTACAGTTCGACAACACAAGACATTTTTTTCCATTTATGCTCTAATTTTTCAACGAAATAGACCCGTCAGTCATTCCCGACAGACACCAATGGCTGTGCTACAATTTTTCCGACAGCTGTGGTACACTAATCCGAAAGACAAACCGTTTGTCATATTACTGACAAAAAACGACAGCTTGCCAACGATATAAATTTAATCTTACAACAACGGTTTTATTTCATCGGAAAACCGTCGACTAATATAAGTCAGGTAATTTTCTCAGTAAAAGAATTACCGACAAGTGCTTTTAGAGACTCCCCCAAAGTCGTGGTTAAGCCATTAGAAATTTATTAATCGACAACTTTTAGATAGTACCCGACATTTTTTAGATCATCAGAAATAAGCTCATTTCCTTTATTGAAACGTTTAGACGATACCACACAATTCTTTTATATTTATTTATCAAACACCTAAACTTTCGTCTTTACAGGCGCCCACTCAAAGCCTCAGCA